TCCTACTGTATTTTCCACTGCGTGCATCCGATGAAGTGGGTTTTAGCCCATGAAAGCTTATGCTCAAATAAACGTTAGTGCCACAAGGACTCCTCGTTCTTTTTGCTGATACAGACTATCACGGCTTTCCCCCCCCCCGCCCCCGCCTGACCCAAATTGGGTCAGAGAAGTGTCCAGTTTCTACTTCAGTGTCAGTCTTTGTATTTAAAAGCACCTTGGTAACTTAAGAGCATAGGGCACAATGTGAGGCTGTAAACCCAGGTGTTACCTATTGAAACTGAAAGCTCTAAATTAGTTTCTACTCTTTACATTCCATTTTAGTCTGCAGTTGACTTAGGGCCAGATGGTATCTGCTCGTTAACCAGCTTATTATCATCTTATGTTCTCCCCATGTGTGTTGTGTCCACCTGTTGTCTCTCATTTTATACCTGCATTTTAAGCTGCCCGGGGCAGATCCTGCCTTTTTGTTACACGTTTGTACAGTGCCTAGAACAATCACTCTGGGATCTTATTTAGATCTTACTGTAACACCTAATGAGAGGCCTGCACAGCCCAGCAGGAATAAAGGAGAGGAAGACCGCCCCTTATATCCCCTAGCACGGGGCACAGTGAAGTGGACAGAAGCAGCCTTTGTAAGACCAGTAGCCAGGAGTGGCGCCAGGGTTTTTGCCACCGTAGGCAGCAGCGCTCCTCCTCTGAGCATTCAGGGGGCCTGGGATCTTCGGCAGCGGGGGTTCTTCTGCTCCGTGTCTTCGGGGCACTTTGGCGGCGGGTCCCGGAGCGAGTGAAGGACCCAGCGCTGAATTTCCGCCGAAGATCTGGAGCGGAAGGACCCCCCGCTGCCGAATTTCCGCTGAGGGCGGCAAAATGCCGCCCCCGGCGACCGCCTAGGGTCGCCTAGTGGAAGCGCCGGCCCTGCCAGTAGCTTCTCTCATACTTGTGCAGGCCGGCAGGGGCAGAAACTTCATTTGAACCCCTCCCAAATTGCATCCGAGCTGAGCCAGCCTGAGGTGGGAAGTAATCCGCTGCTGGTCTATCCCAATAGCGGAGTCCATCTTGGAGCAAGGGGAAGCAGTGAGCTGTGACTCTTGAGTCACAGTTTGTCCCATGATCTGCTCTTAGCGCTCCACACTGCCTCTGCCGCAGGCCAGACTGAGAGACCACACACTAGCCCTTCATTTGCTTGGGCTCCGATTGAGCCGGGCCCTGAAATGTGAGCACAAAACAGACCTAGGTCCAACCCACAAAACTCAGCTACAGAGCAATCCAGGAGTCACTGTGACCTGCACACACTAATGCCATAGTGAGAGACTAGAAATAAATTCTACCTCCAGAATGAGTCAGACAGCAGTTAAAGGTAAGTGCACCCTGTCTGCAAAAAGGGTGAAATCAGTGAAAGAAACCTGTAAAACTTTCTCTCTCATTGTCCCCATTGCTTTCGGCTGCTACAAGGCAGTACCGGAGCATGAGGCCCTTGTGAATCGGAAGGTAGGCGTGACTGTGTATAAGGCGGTCAGTGTTGGGCAGGGGTGAGCAAACTTTTTGGCCTGAGGGCCACATCGGGGAATAGAAATTGTATTGTCGGCCATGAATGCTCAGAAAATTGGGGTGAGGGCTCTGGCTAGGGGTGCGGACTCTGGGGTGGGGCTGGGGACGAGAGGTTTAGGGTGCAGGAGGGTGCTCTGGGCTGGGATCGTGTTTGGAGGGCGGGAGGGGGATCAGGGCTGGGGCAGAGGTGTGGGGAGAGGCTCGGGGTGCAGGCTCCAAGCGGCACTTACCTCAAGTGGCTCCCAGAAGCAGCGGCATGTCCCTTCTCCGCCTCCTACGCGAGGCGCGGCCAGGCGGCTCTGCGCACTGCCCAATCCTCAGGCACCGCCCCTGCCGCTCCCATTGGAGCGCCAGAGGGGGCCATTGGAGCGTGGCCTTGCCGCGGCTTCCAGGAGTCACGTAGAGTGGTCCCTGATCCAGCGCCCCGGTTGGAGCCCTGGAGCGGGGCAAGCCCCAGACCCCGCTCCCAAGCGGGAGCTCGCGGGCCGTAGTTTGCCCACCCTGGTGTAGGACCGAAGGAGAACCCCAATGAGGAGAGCATGCTCCCAGCTTGCTGGCTGCACAGTGAACCTCAGTCCAAGCACTGGAGGGAAGAGAAAGGTGCTGTAGAAATGCAAGAGAGTGTCTTGCAAAGCAGAGCCCCAGCAAGGGGTTTACCTTACAAAGGTGCTGACTCAGGCCTCTCCGAAGCTCCAGTCCTGCAAGGTGCCGAGCACTCTCACCCTTGACGTCAGTGGGACTAGTCACTTGAGTCCTGATTTAGGGCCAGTCTCTGAAAGGACAAACCACCAGCTCCTTTGGGAATCCAGCTCTGATTTTAAGAGGCTCTACTCTCTAATGCTCCGTTCCTCTCCAGCCTCCTTGCTGATTGGGTGTAGTTCCATAGGCAGTGACTCACTTCCCTAACACACTGGATATTTACTAATCTGTAAGTGTTTTTAAAGCGACATGGTGTTGCATATAGCTGTGCATGGAACCAAGGTTTTGGTGCACTGGCCGTTGCGAAAAAGAAACCGTTCACGGGGAAGCGAAACCAACATTTTTTGCCATCAAAAAAGTTAAAAAAATTTTTTTTTAAAAAGTCATCTTGGGGTGCAATGAAATGTTTCGTTTGACCCAAAACACGTAGTTTCCAGGCATTTTTAAAATCAAAGCAAAGGCAATCAGTCACAAAGGGAAGGATGATGGTGCTAACGCCCCATAACCATTACCCCCGTGCTTAGAGCATGCACCGAACTGGCACATAGAAGACACATGTTTGAATCCGTTCTGAAGCAGGGACTTTGAACCCAGCTTCCCACACATGTGTGCCTGAATCACCTGGGTATAGGGCATGCTGTGGTGGGGGTTTCAATCTCTTTCTTCTGTGGCAGCTGTTCCACTTTATATCAATCGATTTTCATTAGAGCAGGGACTGCAACCCAGGCCTTCCACATCCCAGAGTCTTATTTTCTCTTGCTAGCCCCATTTGTATTGCAGTAGCAGCTAGGGCCCCAGTCTTGAGCCAGGATGCATTGTGCTAGGTGCTGTACAAACTCAGAACAAAAAGATGTCCCTAGCCCAAAGAGCTTACCAGCCGTGTCATGCTGCCATGGTCAGGGATGCCTGCACAGTAGAGGCTGGATGGAGACCCTCTCCCCCACCCCCACAATTCAGTTTGTAAACAGCAATGTGACTATCAAACCTAAACTAGATTCCAACCAGTGACCTAAAGGCTCAATCTCTCCCTGCCAATGACCCTAGACAGCTGGGTCCCCCCTCTAAAGAGTCGTCTTTAGATTAGATTTCCAGAAAGCCTTTGACAAGGTCCCTCACCAAAGGCTCTTACGTAAATTAAGTTGTCATGGGATAAGAGGGAAGATCCTTTCATGGATTGAGAACTGGTTAAAAGACAGGGAACAAAGGCTAGGAATAAGTGGTAAATTTTCAGAGTGGAGAGGGATAACTAGTGGTGTTCCCCAAGGGTCACACCTAGGACCAATCCTATTCAACTTATTCATAAATGATCTGGAGAAAGAGGTAAACAATTAGATGGCAAAGTTTGCAGACGATACTAAACTGCTCAAGATAGTTAAGATCAAAGCTGACTGTGAAGAACTTCAAAACGATCTCACAAAACTCAGAGATTGGGCAACAAAATGGCAAATGACATTTAATGTGGATAAATGTAAAGTAATGCACATTGGAAAAAATAACCCCAACTATACATACAATATGATAGGGGCTAATTTAGCTACAACTAATCAGGAACAAGATCTTGGAGTCATCGTGGATAATTCTCGGAAGATGTCCACACAGTGTGCAGCGGCAGTCAGAAAAGCAAACAGGATGTTAGGAATCATTAAAAAAGGGATCGAGAATAAGACTGAGGATATCTTATTGCCCTTATATAAATCCATGGTACACCCACATCGTGAATACTGCATACAGATGTGGTCTCCTCATCTCAAAAAAGATTTACTGGCATTAGAAAAGGTTCCGAGAAGGGCAACTAAAATGATTAGGGGTTTGGAACGGGTCCCATATGAGGAGAGATTAAAGAGGCTAGGACTTTTCTGCTTGGAAAAGAGACTAAGGGGGGGGATAGGATAGAGGTATATAAAATCATGAGTGATGTGGAGAAAGTGAATAAGGAAAAGTTATTTACTTGTTCCCATAATAGAAGAACTAGGGCCCACCAAATGAAATTAATGTGCAGCAGGTTTAAAACGAATAAAAGGAAGTTCTTCTTCACACAGCGCACAGTCAACCTGTGGAACTCCTTGCCTGAGGAGGTTGTGAAGGCTAGGACTATAACAGGGTTTAAAAGAGAACTAGATAAATGCACGCAGGTTAAGTCCATTAATGGCTAAGGAATGGTGTCCCTAGCCTCTGTTTGTCAGAGGGTGGAGATGGATGGCAGGAGAGAGATCACTTGATCATTACCTGTTAGGTTCACTCCCTCTGGGGCACCTGGCATTGGCCACTGTCGGTAGACAGGTTACTGGGCTAGATGGACCTTTGGTCTGACCCAGTACGGCCGTTCTTATGTCTCTAACAAGCCCATCATATTCTGGCGTGGTTCTAGCTTCTGCTCTTTGTATTCCGCATGCTCCGTTTCGTCTGTTTATTTGGGGAGGATTTTTCACTTCCTGCACATTCCTACGGAAGCCCGGTTGACCATTCAACCGCACTTGTGAGAGGCTTTTATTTGCTGAATTTACACTCCAGTGCAAACACAGCGCCTTGATGCTGCACTAGCTTCTAGAGGGAAACTCTGAAAGAGGAATAGAGATGACGAGGGAGCAGCATTCTGGCTTTTGCATCCTCCCTCTGCTGCCAACACAGTCCAGAAGTTGAAAATCCTCTGGGCCTGGACCTGTCATGTGCGGAGCTCCTGCACGCACCCACCAAGGGCAGTACCCGTCAGGATTTGACCCACTGGGCCAGATTCTCAGAAGTGCTTAAGCACCCAGCAACTCTCACTGAGGGGCCTATGTGGGAGCTAAGTTCTTTCCGAAAAACTGTCCCTGTGGTGTTTGCAGTTAATCCACTCCACCCGAGCCTTCACCAGGGTCTCCCTGGTTTGTCTCTCCCTTCTGCCACAGACCATATTCAGCTGTGGGGATGGACTGGGAGTTGATGGACACCCCAGGTGAGCGGACATGGCTTGTAAAGTGGATCAGAACCAGTAGTGAAGGCGAAAGTAAGTTTCTATCCCCAAAACAGCACTACGCTGCCAGGAAACCCCCCTCCCCCCGCCCCCTTACCTGATACCATGTCATCAGAGTAAAACACTCCAGCACTGTGAGGGGTTTGCAGACTTCCCTTCCACCACCTGTTCTCACACAGCTCCTGAAACTGCTGGGAGGCGAAGGCGTTCCCTTCCCGCCTCACCTTTCCAGTTTCCCCACATTGATGATAAAAGGCACAGTCATCCGAATGCCTTCCCTTTGTTAACTCTTCATTGGCAGGTGAGAAACAGACTAAATATGAGAGGCCACAGTTGTGGGACCTTCCCACCGCTTGATAGACGCACACACAAGGGTCAGGAATAATAAAGGTGCCTTTATTGAAATATCTTGGGATTTTAAACCGTGGGTGGCCAAATGTCTAGTGCTAAGAAGATGCCGTGAGTTAGTTATTGCTATTTCCTCACTGGCCCTCCCCAGAGAAACGCCCTTCCTGGAATAACAGGATATCGAGGCCAACCCCAGGGATCAAGCCTTGTCACGTCAGAGCCCACGCTAGGCATGGGCAGCTCAAGGGGCTCCCCATTTGCTTTTTATTATAAGATCTTGCCTGTTTTAGTATTGGGAGAAGGGGCAAAAAATTCTGGTTTAGGGCCCCCAGTGGGCTAACACCAGCACGGGTCACCATCATGTGCCTTGGGGACAATCACCAGTAACCATGCATGTGGCAGACAGAAACCACAGCGTTGCCAAGGAAGTGAGGGAAGCAAATCTTTTGTGGATTCAGCCCTAACGAATGGTGCATTGATATAACCAGCAGCATAGGTAGTGGGTGAACCACCGGCTGGGGGAGGCTAGCCCCTGGCCGCCCCCCCAACCTGAGGACCCACCCCCCATCCCCTGCCAGACCCCCCCTCAGCCCTGGAGCACCGAGTGCGTGCCCCCCCCAATCTCCAAGCACAGGGTGGGTGGCACGTGGCCCCCACGCCTGAGCACAGGACAGGCGGTGTGTGGTCCTCCTCAGTCCCCCCCCAAGCACAGGGCGGGTAACCCCAGTCCCAGCTCCTCTGGTCTCCCACCCCCGAGCACCAGGTGGCACGGCCCCAGTGCCCAGAGCCCCCCAGCCACCCCAAGTCTCGGCCGCCCTAGCCCCAGCACGCTGCTTCCCTGAAGAGGACGACCCTGGGGGCAAGCAGGGCTTCAGGGTCCAGGGAGGAGCATGGAGGGGGCCACGCCGGGCTGTTTGGGGAGAGACAGTCTTCCCCAGCCTCTGCGATGCGCTGCCCTGCCCATGACCAGCAGAGCCACACAACAACTCCTGCCCCTTCAGATTCTGAGCCAGAGTGGTCAGAGCAAGCCCCCCACCTGAAAAGCATCCCCAAGGCAGCTGGGCCTTTCCAGGGGCTCACCTGGTTTGCAGGAAGGAGCTGGATGGAGGGTCTCATGGGGCTGCTAAGGGATGAAGATCCTGATTCACCAAAGCACGGAAGCCCATGCTTAAAGCTAAGCACACGAATGGCTGCAGACATTTCCATTGGGATTACTCAGGTGCTTAAAGCAAACCACGTGCTCTCTGGAACCTGGCCTTCACTGAGCATAAATGCCGGGGTTTTGAAGCATAAGGACAAAACACCCCCAACTATGCTGCAGTGTGTTCAACCAGTGCTTCACTATTTGTTTTGCCAAACAATTCGGGACAGCAAATTCCCTGATATTTACGGCAGGGGGAGATTCAGGTTTCTGTACTTTTTCTAAGGGGCATGCAGCAGATCCTGTGGAATCATCAACCTGAAGCTTGTTCCTAGGCCAGCTCCATTAATTCCCACTTACATTCATTTTGTTTTGAGAGATGGGTTTTCTCTCCCGTCCCCACATGCCCCGTTGCAGTTTGACACTCTGAATCAGATGGACGCAGCAAAGCTCTCTCTGGTTACAACTGCAACGTTACTGCGTTCAGAGAGACATAAATAGATCCTGTTTCCCTCCTACTCCGCCCCAGCCGCTTTGATGCGCTGGACTCATTCGGAGGAGATGGGTCTGATAAGCTCTTGGGGGAAAGCTCTCTTCTGTAAGAGATCCCGGTTCACCTTCCAGTCGCTCTCTTTGAAGCCGGTCAGAAATCCTTCTTCCTGGGGAGAAAATACAAACCTGGGTCAGGACCAGGAGGAAGAGTGGAAAGGAATTTCTAAGGCTGAGTAGCAGGAAAATGTTCCCGACAGTGAGGTCTGTTGGACTGTGAAAGTTTCCCAAAAGTTACAGGGTGGAGACATGGTTTGGGACATTTAAAATTAGATTAAATGCAGCAGTACAGAATAATCCTGCATTGGGTCCAGAGAGATGGACTGGGTGGAACCTATCCAGTCTTTCCCATTTAATGATTCAAAGAAGAGTTCTTTGCTTTAAAGTCACTTAGGATGTGTGGAAACCCAGTTCCCGTTAATTCTAACTGGGGGTTTTGAGTCTATTAGACAGCTCTGAAAAATCTAGCTTTAATACTGCACTTCTCTTTCGTTTTACCCTCTTGCGACAGCATCTTCATCACAGAGACAGTACACAGATTCAAGGGTGCCAATGAAGGAACCAATTAATGAGCTGAGTGGGAAATGGTTTTTCTATCCTGTGAGTTTGAGGGTTTGAAATTTTTTTCCTGTCTCAAATCAGGCTGAAAAGTCAAAAGCTCAAAATTTTTTGCAACCTGATAGTCCAAAATTTATTTTGCATCAAGTTCATTAAAATGTTTCATTTAGATTTCGACTTTAAAAAAAAAAAAAGCTTTTAGTAACCGCTAACTAAAATTTCAAACCGAAAAGTTATTTTGAGCCAGAAAACAAAACTTAATTTAGAAAACATTGAAATGGGCCATTTCAACAATTTTAAAGTTTTTTTTCCTCCAAAAATGTTCTAATCAGATTTGTCAAAACCAACCCTTTCCCGTGGAAAAATTTGTTTCTGTGAACCGGCATTTTCTGATGGAAAAAACGTTTCATCAGAAAATTTCCAGCCTGCTCTACCAATCTGCCTTTAAATCTCTTCACCAACAGGAAGTGACTTATCAGCACCAAGGAAATAGATTAGCAAGAGGAGGAAGGCGCTGGGAGATCAGTTAATGATTGACTGAAGCTCTACCTAAGAGGAATGATAAACAGATGCATGCTGCTACAGGCTCTGTGCCTGCATTTTATTAGGCCTTGTGCTCATGGGAAAGTTGCACTTGTATAACTGAAGGTGTGAATTTAAACCGGCGCAAACACTGCACAGACACTTTTAGACTTGGTCTGCCCAGTTCTTTTACTAGTATAATGATGTCTGTTAGGCTAGGTCTACACTACCCGCCTGAATCGGCGGGTAGAAATCGACCTCTCGGGGAGTCGATTTATCGCGTCCCGTTGGGACGCGACAACCGA